CGACAACATTTTTTGAATTGACTGTATTCTTTAGAAATTGCCTACAACCTGTGAAATTTTTAAGTGCTTCAATAAATTGTTCGTTGATGTGTAAATTCCTTTTATTACTGCGGACTGTAGTCAAATTCTAAAGAATAATTACACGCTGATGAGGCTGAGGTTGAGTAATGGGATCCGTAAAATGGCCTATTAATCATTATCTCAAATAAATTAAATTAAACTGGTCGAAGATGTGTCAAACCCTTCAATACACCATAGACTAGTTTACAAGTATGTACAATTATCAAACCTTAAGATTTTAGATTACAACGGCATACTATTTGTATGCAAAACTCTCAAAAATATTTATAACACAAATATATTTAACAAATAAAAACACGATTCTAATCCAAAAGAATTTACATCTATTTTTTCGTTAAGTTAAAGCTAATATGTATTACATACATTGAATATGTAGAGTGATTTGATTTAACTCCTGACACATCAAATGAAAACAAAAGGGAAAAAGTATGAGCAATGCAGTACAATGAAGGGTTAAATGAAATCACTCTATAGCTAGAGACCAATGTGCTAAAATAATCCTAAGCTCCATTAATGCCAATCTCTTTCTGTACGTGTACCATATTTTGACACCATCATCATAAGAGATCCAGCAACCTCGATACAATCTAGAAGAAATAAATCGAAACCAGAATTTAATAATTTGTGATAAATTGACTCTGTTGGTTGTAGGTGATAGTAGGTATTCTGAATGTCAACTTTGGCATTGTTGCATTTGTTTTCTGTTTCATTACTTTATGATTTGTATAGAGGCTTTGCACCATCACATGATGACAGATGGCAGGAACGATATTATCGTTTTTCATAAGAAAGAATTCCACGCCCAAGAGCAAAGGGATTTTATCTAACCACAGGCAGCCCAAGCTGTATTATGAGCGTGGGCAATTGATGGTGCAAAACCTATATTAYGATATTTTATGATGGACAAGACCAAGATGGCTGACTGTCAAGAAACCAGTAGCATCAACATGTAATGCTCACCAAAGCCTTCTCTGCTACTCGCCCTTTGCGGCTTTTTAGTCTAGCAATAATTGCAGAAATTGAAACCATAGCCATGTACAGTCCATTGACACTTCTAAAAAAACAGAAAATATTGAATACATGTAAGCAAAGAATACAGTTATTTACAGTTGGGGATCATATCATTTCTTGCTAGCTGAGTATCTGGGATGTTATATCTGGCTTCCATGTGTGGGAAAATTTACAATATGCTATCAAAATCCTCCACATGATTTTGACAACTGCTGTGCCATGTGCTTCTGTCAAGCATAATGTAATAATATAATCTGGTTAAAAACTGGTTTTGGTGGTATATCAGAAGAAATTTTCTACATCAGCAGAGTCTGACCCGCCTCCCAACCTAAAAAAGGGAGAGAAAGAGGAAAGGAAGTACTGTCACAACTTAGATTGACTTCTCCACCTCTTCTAGCTTCTGCCCTTCCAATAGACATGGGTGGGTAATCCCAAAGAGAGGAGAAGTTTCGTCTTTGTTTGTCACTACATACCTACTACATCTTTGGTGCTTAGGGTCATTGCCTTCACTAGTAGCTGCCTTCAGTTGTGTCCACCATCTTTTAATCATCTCTCGTACCATATTTAATGCTACAACAATATAACTAGAAGACGACACAAAAAATTAAGTTCATAAATAACACTAGTATATTCCTTAAGGAAATGGGGGAATCACTATATATGATGGTCATGGCAGAACTTACTCTTCAAATTTTGAAGCCAACAGTCTTTCTAGTGCTGGTAACATCTCAAGACAAGCACCCATTGATAATGCCTGCCCTTCAGGTGCATTTTCTTTTACTCTAGAAAACGTTAAGAGTGTAACTTTAGTCTTTGTACAGTAGCTTCTTATCCAGGGTTCGTGCCGAGGTAACCACTTAAAATTCAAGGACTATTCAAGGAGTATACAAGGACCCAAAAATGAATTTTCAAGGAGTATGTTCAGTTGACTATGCCAAGGTTTTGCACTGTGGTTGCACATGGCCGACTTTCAGAATTTCCGATCTTTTTGACTAGATCTATTTCAGAACCATGCAAGTAATGATCAAAGCAAAAATTCAAGGAGTTTTCAAGGAGTTTCACTAAAATCGTAAAATTCAAGAGCTTTTCAAGGAGAGTTTAAGGAGTAGCAAGAACCCTGTTATCCCTTCCCAAGGCCTCTCGCCATGAGCCCAAAAAAGGAGGTGTTATCTTTAGCTGCAGAAACTCATGGTCAGCATTGTTATACATTCTAACATGATATTTTCTCACCTGCTTGTAAGAAGTGGCATAACATCAACTAACAAAGCATCATCTTTCAATCTAGAAGTCAAACAATAAATGAATGGACTACATCTTGTGAACAGGTAGCTTTTTTTGGCCAAAAATCACATTTAAATATGATTTTTCATCATCTTTTTCCAAAGTACTTACCTCAGAACATACTCCAAAAAGGCATTAGTGTCCTAAAACAAGAGACATTTAGAATGAATTTTGGCTGTGATTCAAGAGTACTTCAAGCTTAATTACCAGGATTAGTATTTGTGTGGGTGGGATACCTGTGGTGATAAATTGTCGAAAACACAGGTATCCCATCTACACAGATAGTGAGCATGGTAAGCCTGTGGTAATAATATAGCATGTGACTATCCCTACCTTATGCCATAATGTCTCAGCAGCTCTTAGTCGCAGTAAACGATTGGTCAAAACACTCATCATAGCTGGATGGCTGTTCATTAACTGTTTGAAAAAGATGTCAAGATATTTTATGAGTCTATGCTTAAATGCGTAAACTTGTTACAACTTAGTTGGGGCTCAAAAAAATGGCTGGTCAAATATGTTGCTTGTCCAGTTAAACACTTCTTAGGCCAGTCCTCTTGACAGGTACATGTTGATCAGTCAGATGTTATCAATCATCATGTTAGGTCATTCAACTACATGGTTTAATGTAATGGCTAGTCAAATATATTGCTTGTTCAGCCACACATCTCTTAGGCCAGTCCTTGTCCAGCCAAACACCAGGCCAGTCCTCTTGACTGGTCAAATTAACTGGTAACATGTTGTTCAATACAACATGGCCATTCATCATGTCAAGCCATTGAGCAACTGTTGATTTTAGCTCTGTAATGTATGCAAAAGTCAATTACCTCTAATGCTTCGTCTTTAGGTTCATTTGAAACACTCTTTTTTCTTAAAGCACCTATAAAAGAATGACTCAAATTAAAGAATTATCAACTAACAAAATATACCTTAAGTCACAAATAGTGGGTTTGCAACATCACATGCTGGCACCCATAATACAGCCTGGGCTGCCTGTGGTTAGATGGCAGAATAATAAAATCCCTTTGCTCTCGGGAATTGAATTCTTTCTGATGTAAAATGATTGTACTGTTCCTGCCATCTAACATGGCTATCGTCACATGGTGTTGCAAAACCTCTATTTAACAATAATGGTAGAAAGGATATACCCCTCTCCCCCAATTTAAAATTCTCTWCTTTCACATCCCCATAATACTTTGCGCATTTGGGGGGGTAACCAGAGGGTAAAAACCCACTTATTTTACTGAAGGCTGATTAGACAATGTTGGAAATACCTTGTTTGGCATCCAAAAATAAAGTGAAGAAGTAAAAAACAGAAAAAGATAGAAGCTTGAAGACCTTTAAGGTAAATTTAAAACATTTTTTTCGTAAGTCAATACATTTTCTGTAAGACCAAAACTCTTGATGATCTGTACACGCAAAAATAACTTGGAATAAACTGATAATCAGTATTGTACAGATAAAAGCAGGTATTGTATAAATTCAATTAAGAAACCTTTCAATTTGGGACAGCTTTTGATTGGTTACCCCCCAAAGACGCAAGGCATTATGGGGATGTGAAAGTAGAGAATGGACAGTGTACTGATTCAAGGGTATAAAAAAATTTTAACCATATAATATGCCGAGATAGATGAAATATAAATTAATTGAATGTACCGTCTTCCTTTACATCTGTAGTTTCTTTTTGTTCTAAGACAGGCTTGATTGGGACTCTCTGAAATACAATTAGAATTAATTTGATTTTTTAAAAATCTAATTTAATGCATCACACTGATGATCACACTGATAAGCTAGAGCAGGCTCTTCACCAACCAGAGTCGACAGTAATGATATAAAGGTATATGGCATGGATCTGGGACCTTAGTATCATGGTCAGTAGTAGAATACCAAAGAGTCAGAGATTCCTTGCCCTTATTTACTGCTGTGCAAACAGTCACTAGCTATGTCAAAATGTTGTTATGACATGAGATAAACTGTGAGGGGGTAAAGGTATGTCTGTTCCTTGGGGGTGGGAGAGGGGCATTGTGTTCTGTAAGGATTGTCTGCTTTAGAAAAATATCTTCAACAAATCCACCAAGTTAGTCGTCCAGCTGACTATTACCCTAAAGGTGATAATATCATTCAATAACATGCCGTTGTGTAGTGCTCAAGTATACTCACCTCTTCTGGAATAGGTTGATTTACATCTCTATTCCTTAGTGGTCTTTTAACATTGTCGTCTAAATTCATTCTGTAAAAAAAAAATAACAAAAAGAAAGAAAAAAAGGTTCATTAACTGATAGCCTTTCCCATTACTTATTTATACCCACAGATTCTGCATCTTCAACAGTGTTTTCAAGATAGCTAACCTCAAAGGAATCAAATTCTCTATGCCAACAGGTTGTACTTGGTCTATGTGCTTTTTTCCTCTAATCTGTAAACAGTAAAAATCACAGTACATCACTAAACCATGTTTCTGTGCAACAGTATATCAAGGAAGTTAGCTTTAAAGTAAAAAGATAATGTTTTGATTTCTCAAAAAGTAGAAATCGTTATTACAATGCATATTTTTGTACAACAAAAGCATGCCCAAAATCTAATTTACCACAAAAAACTCTACCACAAGGGCAGTAAAGGTCACTGATTTCCCAAAACATGGGTTTCAGACGAAGATATTAAATAATTTGGTTTATTTTTCAAGTGAGTTCATTTGGTTTTAGACATACTTCATCACCATATTCATGAGTCAACTGACGCTACGACATTTACACTCTCCCTGGAAAACATCTTATTATATTAATATTTTTCTTTTAAAAAATTGTGCGTTTAACATTTACGAAATAAGCCACGAATAAGGCTTGTTTTAGAAAATAAGATAGATGAGTAAGACAGAAATACTAGTAAAGAAAGAAATGTTTACGATTTGAAGCAAAAAAAAGAAAACGCAAAGCTTATAAAACCCGCCCGAACACAAAAGATAGAACACTAAATGTGAGAAAATACCTCTCCGTTTTCGTTCGATAAACCATTTTCTTGAATTGAGTGATTATTTTGCTTGTTTCTGATTTCCTCGGAAGTCCATTTGTATCGAGAAAGAGCCCAATCGTAGTAAAAATGCCCAACGTTGTCAACGCTAGCGCTTCTTTTCTTTAGTGAGGCCATTTTGAATTTAAAGAAACCAAACGATCGAACCGCCAAATGGGGATATCACCAACAGCCAATCACAGCGCTGTATTCTAATATATGCACATTGCTGTAAAATTAAGGCTTGTATAAATTATGGATAAATGAATAAATTAAAGAAGAAAAACAGACTATTTCAATCTCAGTTTCTTAAATTAAGTTTCTGGAATTTATTTTTTAATAAATAAGCGACAATTGCTTTCAAATCGTAGCAGGACACTACTAAAGTCACGTTTACACTGGCGATTTTTGCGGCGATTTTTGCGGCGATTTTTGCGGCGATTTTTGCGGCGATTTTTGCGGCAATTTTCGGAAATATGAAATCTTTTGTCTCATCCTTCAAAAGAGACATTCGTCTAGGAAAATCTTTGTATCCTGAATTAAACTTTACAAGTAAATTCTTTGCCATCATTTATTATGGAGAAAATCGCAAAAAAAAAATCGCAGCAAAAATCGCCGCAAAAATTGCTAGTGTAAACGGGGCTCAATATAGTAAAGGATAGCAAAGTAGAAAAAATTCCCTATCCCTTTTCTGTGGTTTAACAAAAAAAAAAATCCATTGTTAGCTTCACTAGCAAAGAGAAGGATCGCCACACCTCGTGGAAAAGAATGGCACACCTCAGGGAGAAGGAGGGCACATCCCAGGGAGAAGGATGACACACCTCAGGGAAAAGGATGGCACACCCCAGGGAGAAGGATGACACACCTCAGGGAAAAGGATGGCACACCTCAGGGAGAAGGATGGCACACCTCAGGGAAAAGGATGATACACCCCAGGGAGAAGGATGGCAAACCTTAGGGAGAAGGATGACACACCTCAGGGAGAAGGATGGCACACCTCAGGGAGAAGTATAGCACACCTCAGGGAGAAGGATGGCACACCCCAGGGAGAAGG